TTACATTGTGTATTAGGTTAAATCTCATATAATACTTAATTCTTTTTAATTAAAAAAAAGTGCCAAAGACCCTCGTGTTGAACGTGTAACATCTGTCTGCAAGAAAGTCGTCAGTACATTCTCGTTCAGCTGGAAGAAAAAGAGGGATTTAAGTAAAGCTCAAACTGACCTAAAGCTACCTCAGCAGAAGCTCGTCACTGAGTCTCCAACACGATGGGGTTCGAGACTCAACATGATCGAAAGAGTACTTGACCAGGAAAAGGCGATTTCTCAGGTCCTGAAGGCAGACAGGAAGATGAGGCATTTAGTCCCATCATGGCAGGATGTTGACGTAATGGAGTCTGTGAAAAAGGCTCTGAGCCCACTGAGAGACTTTACTGATGCACTCTCAGGTGAAGACTATGTGAGTGTATCTTATGTAAAGCCAGTGCTTCACCTGTTGAAAGTCAACATTTTGAGCCTGAATGAGGAGGATACTGAACTAACAAAAACAAGGAAGACTAACTACCATTCTGGAATACCTCACTGACAAATATCAGGACCCCGCCACCAATGACGTGCTGGATATGGCTTCACTTGTCGATCCCAGGTTCAAAATGCAGTACACAGACAAAGACAACATTGAGGGAATACAAAGCAGAGCTGTGTCTGAGCTGGAGAATTTGCTGAATCCAGCATCATCAAATCAGCAGCCTACCTCAACCTCCACATCACACAGCCCTGATGAAGATCAGACACCACCCAAGAAAGCAAAGAGATCACTTGCCAGCTTTTTGAAAGCCTCAGCTGTTGTAAGTGCATCTGCAGCAGCCACATCATCAGCTTCCCCATCTCTAAAAGAAGCAATAGAAGGGGAACTGAAGGGCTACTTGTCCACACCAAATGCAGAAAGTGATATGGATCCATTGCAATGGTGGAAAGTCCATGAGGCAAACTTTCCAAGAGTTAGCCAACTTGCTAGAAAGTATTTATGCATTCCAGCAACAAGTGCTCCCTCAGAAAGAGCCTTCAGTACTGGTGGCAACATTGTCACCTGTCAAAGGGCAACTCTCAAGCCAGAGAAAGTCAATCACCTGGTTTTCCTTGCTAAAAATTTGTGACTGATTAGTTAAGCTGCTAAGTTTACAAGCCTCAGGTCAGGAAATATTTTTGTAGCTTTGTTTATTGTTTTGGGTCTGAAATGTTTAAAAAAATCCTTAACAGTTGAACAAAGGGCACTTACATGTTGGATGTTTGCTTTGATTTTTACCTTTTGAAGCTAATATTTATTTTGGGAATTATGCTAAATTCTATGAACCCGCATTTGTTTCACTAGACCAAGGTAATATTTTTATTTAACTTTGTAACAAGCTATTTACATTTTTCAAGCACTTTGC